GCCAGAGAAAAGAGAGGAGAGCGGATGTCGTCAATGCTTCACAGAATCCGGAGATCAGGAGAGCCGGAGAAAAGAGAGGAGAGCGGATGTCGTCGATGCTTCACAGAGGCTGGAGCCGGAGATTAGGGAATCGCTGATATAGTGAGGCGTGAGTTCTAATCTAGATGGAGGAGGCTAGAATAGTCTAAAATTGAAATAAATAAAGATAATTGAAAAAACTAAAGTTAAAAATGAAAAGTAAAAATAATTGGGAGATAAATGATATTAGTCTCACAAAAGAGAACCATACGGGTAATTTGCACATTGATTTTTGTAATGGGCCTTATTGCTTCTTTAAATAAAAATAGTTTTTCATATTTCCTAAAATTGTTGTGTAACATATTTCTAAAAATAATGTAATTGTCATAAAAATTACTCAATTTCCTAATGTAATTAAGATTACACTTTCCAACTACCATCAAAGAAGTACTATATAAATATTTCAAATAGGGGTGGGCACGATCCGTCGACCCGGATCATTGATAAATTTCAAAAATCGTCAGTTCTATTTAACGGGTAGGTTTGGTCCGGGTATATCAAGTTTTGAAATAGGAATCAAACCTTACCCGCCCCGTTTGAAACAGATCGGATCGGGTTCTAGGTTCTTAAAAAAAGGTAGCTTCTATGGACCCATAAGGTACCATACCTTCCTACACATAGACCAATGAGAATGTTGCAGTTTGATTATTTAAATTTAAATTAAAAATGATATAATGATTTGGTCCAATTAAGTGAATGATAGGTATGTGGTACCCATTTAAATAATGGGGTACCAAAGTTGTCACCCTTAAAAAATACCGATACACTAAGGATGTTTTCTTTTGAACTATTTTCAATCACAGATCAGACCAAACCAGACCAGATCAGACCAAACTTGACTTCCGTAGTTATAAAATACACAGAGACCAGACCAAACCAGTTCAAACCAGATCAGACTAGATCGGGGCAGTTCCGACCAGCCCAGACCAGCAAATTTCAGTCCAAAAGAAAACATCCTAACAATTCAAAATAAATATATAAAAGAAAGTTTTGAGTTAGCTAACAAAATATCTAAGCCACACATGTCTAAATTAATTAGCATACAATTTCACAAATTAAATAACACCAAACTTTGAAATGTAAAAAATAAGACATCATCATTCATAAACTAAAAAGATAGCATCACAAAGCCATAAAAAATTAGACTAGTCAATATACTTATATATTCAAGAAAACAATTTTAAGCTTGATTTATCGACCATTCATGAGACTTGTCCTTTTAAAAATATATTACATATATAATATTGATGCAATATGAAAGATCATAAAAATTACTCCGTATTTAATTTAATGGAATTATTATAAAAATTGGAACAAAAATGAAAATGTTATACAGAGTAACATTTTATATAAAAAAAGGAATTATTTACCACACGACGGCATATTATTGCATGGAGATTGAATGTAAACTTGACATGGAGCAAGCCGTGTGATCCTACGAGAACTAAACAACAATTTTATCAATTTTAAATTAATAATTAAGAAAGTCAAAATTGTCATAACAATTACAAGTATGAATAGGGTGCACACAAAAATGTTAGCAAAACAACATCTTGACTAATACCGAATATAAAACATCTTGAATAAAAAATGATGTTTTTATATTTGGGTTTAAAAAAACATAAAAATTAATATTGACTAATCTTGGAGAGGAGAAAGTCGTGATTGATTACTAGGTAGCTATGACATAGGGGTGTCAAATTTAAAATTGTTGTTCGAAATTAATTTAACAGTGATTGAAATTCAATACGACTTCCGTTAGCAAGTTTAAAAGGGTAAATCAGTCTTTCTACGGTTAGATTTAGTAATTATGGGGGTGCGCCTAGCAACCCCGTTAGAAAATTACCCTAAATTCTGGTTAGCTGATATTATGAAACATGTAAGCTAATCAAGGGTGCCGCTCGGAGCCAGCCCAGTGTCCCAGCTGAGGACCAAATTGGCTATTTAGCCTAAACGGGCCAAGGTATGGAGATTTGTGGTATGCGCAGCCCGGTCCGCGACGAGCGTCGCATGGGCCTTGGATACTCTTGGCTCCCCTTTTATTAATAGTAATAACACTATAATAATTTTTAAAAGTTAGCTATACCCTCAAAGTAAAGCCCATATATACATTTATGTATACACATTCTAAGCATATTTGTAATAACTAAGAAGGGTTGTAGACAAAGCATATATTTTAATTCAATTTATTATTTGGATTCAAAAATTGTGATTTAAATTTGACAACATAGAATATAAATACGAAAACAAATCAATTTTTTTGTTCAAACATCTTTCAAATATGAATACATATAATTGTGTATTCGATTCAAAGAATAATCAAATATATTCGTTTATACATATATACAACAACTACCTAGTATGTGTGTGTGCATTAACTACTCAATATGTGTGTGTGTATAGTATAAACTATATATCTAATGCTTTTCTTAATTAGCAACAATTCCAAATACCTAACATAAAATTAGAGTCGTTTGACTTTGATATATAAAATTATCAACTTATTTGACACATTATAAGTATAGCTTCTAATATGTGTGTGTTAGTGTTTATTTCAAATACTTTGAAATATATTTATGTTTATTAATCATAAAATTGATTCAATTTGGTATATTGTGCACAACATAAAATTGCATCGATCCATTATATTTTAAACCAAATGTAATGTTACAAAATAAATTCTAAAAACACATCAAGTCACAACATGCAGTTAGGCCGGTGGACAACCTACAGGTCATCTAGTCTATTTGAGGGTGAAATAGATCAGGCGCCCAGGCCTTGAAACTTGAAGGTCAGTCATGTGCCCCATTTACTTCATTACATTTAGGCCTGATTTTTCTATACAACCCCTGTCTTTTTAAACAAGCCTAATCAACTACGTAGTATGTTTAATACTATTGTTTCCTTTCCTTTTGAGAAGTCTTATTTGTTTATAAAACTAACAAAGACAATCAACAAGTTTTATTATTATTTTACCCATTTCTATCTTTAGGAACCTTTAACATACTTTTTGATAAAGTATTTGCCCTAAATAGGACTAAAATATTAAAAAAGTTCCAAAGTGGGAGTTATATCTCATTTATTCCCTAAATAGGAGTATTCTAAATAGCCTACCTATTATACTCTTTCCGTATTTTCTCTTCATTTTCTCTCCCTTTGGATCTGTTACGCAACATCTCTCTTCTCTCCCTTTGAATCTGCTACCCATCAAACAATCCTCCCATTTTTTCTTTTCTCTCCACTATCTTTTCCCTTCTCTATCCATTTTTTCAGTTTTTGGTCTCGCATCATTGCCATCCCTCATCTTTCTCTCTTATACACCGCCAATCGACTAACAAAGTGCCAATCTTCTGCTCTGGCAGCAGCGTCGTGACTCCGGCGTTGTGCTACGCCTCCGGTGACATGGTGGGAATCCGATTACGTGGTGATGTTCTCCGATAAATATCTCTCTTCTTCTCATCATCATCCTCCTCCACCACCTTCTCATCCTCCTCGTTTTCATCTTCATCTTCTTCACTTAGGTTTCTGTAAAAAAATTAATTTTCATATTCAAAATGGAAATATTTAGATTTAGATTTGAAATTTTGGGAGTGGAAATTCGAGGCCCCAATAGCTGGTTACTTGAAAATTTCAGAGGTCTCTGTGTTTTTTTTTTAATTTCAGATTGAAAATGGAAATTTTTAGATTTAGCTTTGAAATTTGGGGACTAGAAAATTCGTGACTCCCAAAGCTGGTTATTTAAAAATTATGTAATTTTTTATGGGATTGTCATTTTTGTTACTACTTTGAATGTAAGAAGTTCACTATGATAATGCCATTTTTATGGCAATAACATTACAAAGATGACAATAATACTCCTTCGGAAAAACATTATTGCCATATTTTTAATTCGAAAATGCCATCTTATTTCATTTATGGGATTGTCATTTTTGTAACTATTTTGAAGGTAAGAAGTTCACTTTGATAATGCCATTTTTATGGCAATAACATTACAAAGATGGCAATAATACACCTTTGGGGAAAACATTATTGCCGTATTTTTAATCCGAAAATGGCATCTTATTTCAGTCAGGATGGCAATAATGTCATTAAAATGGCACTCCAACTGCAAGATGACATTTGAGAGATAGTCATAACAAATATGAGATCTACAGTGCTCGGCTCTGTGGAGGCAGCGACGACTCCAAAGGTTGCACGTTGGTCTTGAATGAGGCGGCGATGACGTCAGATCTGGCGGCAAGGCTGGACGAGATCGAAGATGGAGCTGGTGCTGGCACCTTTGGTGGTGGCGGAGCTGACGTCGGTGGTGGCACCGACATCGGTGGCGGCACCGACGCCGATGGCGGCGGCGGCCGATGCTGGTGATTGCGTTTGAGGTGAAACGGAGAGATGCCTTTGGTCCTCTGCCAGATGACCGTGCTACAATGTTGGACCTCTCATATTTTCTTTTACTATTTTATTTTGTATTATTAATAAATTAATTAATTTGTTCATTAAGGGTACAACTGCCAGCTCACCTCTTTTTTACTCCTACTAAATCTAACGGGAAGCTACACTCCTATTTGTGCATAACTTTTATTTTTGTGATAAGGGTCAAATATGGCCTCGAACTTAGAAAAAAATGTCAAATAAGGTCATATATATGATGCTCTGTACGTCTGACGCTATTTGGGGTCGTTCCCGGTTAAATTTTTCGATGAATTTTTTTGAACATCTTATTCATTAAGTGTAGTTTACTCATATCAAATTTGAACTAAAAATTCAATCGAGAAGGCATTCAAATGAATTTTTCAAAATAACTGCGCAGTTATCTTTAAGAATTTATTTGAATGCCTTCTCGATTGAATTTTTAGTTCAAATTTGGTATGACTAAACTAGACTTAATGAATAAGATTCTCAAAAATATTCATCAAAAAATTCTATCGGGAACCACCCCAAATGGCGTTGGCCGGACAGATCATCTTATATAAGACTTTATTTGACATTTTTTTGTAAGTTCGAGGCCCTATCTGACCCTTATCCCTTTATTTTTTTAATCCTATACAGGTAATTATCTCTTTTTGATATGTTATTTCATTCATTTTTCACTTATTATCTCTCTTCTTAAATTTGTCTTACTTTTCTTCCTTCTCTTTCATGATTTTTTGCCTAATATATTTGAAGACCAAAGTCGTGCAATAGGCCCATGGAAAAAACCATTGTACACAAAGTTGTACCATTTTTGTACACATTGAATCTTATTCAGATATCTCCTCAAGAAATATATCTCGAAAATTTATAAATAGAATATGCTTAGTGTACATCAGTTGTACACAAAATCTCCCTAGTTGCATGTGTACACAGGCAATTCATTTAGAAAAGGTCAGAATTTGACACCCACTTGACTGTGTACACAGGCAATGTACACATTTTGTGTACATCTTGTGTACACTGTACACCAAGCATAACCCTTTATAAATCATGCACACAATTATTGTATGTGAATCGCATTGTTCACCCACCTATTAACAAGTAGTCCGTTTGAACAAAATCTATCTAAAACCCGCAAGTTATATACTCTCTCCAATCCTAAATAAACTTCACATTTTACATTTTGGATAGGTCCAAAATAAACTTCACACTTCTTCTCTCTTCCTTACTTGGCAAATTATCTACATCAAAACAATGTCAAACAGTGTCACAACAGTGTACTCTACAGTAAAGTCAAATTTATTTTCTTAATTTGTGTGAAGTCAAAGTGTGAAGTTAATTTAGGACCGGAGGGAGTAAAATATAATACGTAGTAGTAATTTGTGAACATACATTGATTTGTGCACCTACAATATTTCATTTGCACACTCATCAGTGTTTTTTGACAGAATAATCAATATCTATAGCGAATAATCTTGTGACACATACAACCAATGTCTAGCCAAACATTAACTATTTTCACCAATACATTAGTTGTTGGGGATTCAGACCTTTTAGTAACTTGTAAAGAAAGTTGTCACCAAACATTGTTAACACTCCCACTCACCCCTTTTTACCAGATTTTTCAATTATAACTCCTACAACTCCATGAGTTTGTTTAGCAACAATTTGAATTTCATTTTTTCCTTTTTTTAGCACACTTTTTAGTAATTATCATATCATTTTAAAATAATTACTCCAACTTTTCTATAAATATGCAGTTAAATATACCAACCCCAAAACTTCATTGTATCAAACTAATGTCATCAAATTGTTCTGGCAACACTGCTGGGAGGACTGAGGAATCAAGTTGGCCGTTTTCCTGTTGTTAGATGCGCCCTGTCAAACTTGGATGCTACGGTTGCGAACATGGTGACAACTTTAAGTTACTGAGACTTTGTTTTCTTAAAGAGGGGCGGGGGAGACAATGTTTTGGTGTGGGGGTGCCGAGAAGGATGGTAGATTCAAAATCCGCCCCGCCTATTATCCACTTGGTAGTTGGTACGATAGACTGGCATCAAGTTCAGCGTTGGCGCGGCCCAAACCGGATTAAACCTTTCCTTTGGCTAGCGTCTTTTGATAAGTTGCTTACAAATGAGGAGAGGAGACATCAACACATGGCTGACAGTGGTACATGCAGCCGGTGGTACAAGACTGTCTTTTTGTTGTTAGCACTTGGACATGACTTGGCCTATTTTTCTGACAATCAAAAGAATTGAGATTCACCGCTTTTGTATTGAATTACTTGCCACTTGAAGACGACGAGCACTAGCCTTCTCTATGGGGTTGCCTGCTAGTCACCCTGGAAGATAAAAAACAAGTTTTTATTGACCGATATAAGCACCACTCCTGAGGCTCCATCAGCGTATAAAACTATCGGCCAAGACTATTGAAGAGGCTCTGATACGAGACCAGCCCATTAACATTGGTTCACTCGCCAAGACTGTGGTAAATGTATCTTGGCCATCACTACCACCTAGTGGGTTGCTCTCGATTCTAACAGGTCTATTATTTTGAGAACCGACGAGCAACTGCAAGAGACTTGTTTCACAATGCTGATGGTCGCTGCATGGCAGCTTATAGCATGAACCTAGGAATCTGCTCAATCACCAGGACTGAATTGAGAGCTGGTGTGACTTGATTCCAGTTGGCTTGAAAGAAAGGGCACATGAAGTTATGGGTCCAGCTGGATTCGCAAGCTGCAATCTAGCTTCTACAATCAAGCTCCAATACAGGAAGTTATGGGTGCACAGCAACACTCTTCTGAGGTTGCCAGTTTCTGTGAGCTATTGGATCGAGAGTGGATGGTTAAGGTTTAGCACATTTATCGAGAAGGCAACTGGGCTGCTGATTACTTACCTAGCCTTGGTCATAGTTTACCACTTGGTGTACATCATAATTCTACTAGGGATCCTACCTTGTCATTACATTTGTTGTATGACTCTATTGGGGTTTCCCAACCTCATCTGATTATGAATAAAAGATAAGCGCTAATGCATCTAGACTTACCAAAAACAAATATCATTGTCACCTTTCAACTAAAAATTGCACTTCCTCATTTCACCGCCACAATTAGTTTTTGATTTCACTGGCGAAGCTACAAAAGGGAGTCTAAATGTAACCTCAACAATTGACTCTCACTTCTGATACTAAAATGAAGTAATATTGTGCACACGTTTTAACGGTTTATACAGGTTGAATCTGCATGTGGAAATCTTCACAGCTGCAGACCGGAGATGGACTTTTAACTGCAAAAAATGACACCTTAAAACAGCCCATTCCTGTAAAAACGAAAAGGTGAGTGATATAAATATATAATCATTTTGGTAACAGCACTCATCAAGCCCCCAAATAATTCTGCAATAAGCAATCGCTTATCCTTGACGAACTGCATTTTTGCATTCCTTTTTCACTCTCATAGGGATGACAATTGAATGGGGATAACAGGTGCATAAAATATATCAACATTGAGTGACCCACAACATGCCACACAGTGGGGGAAGGATTAGAGATAAATAGATAATTGTGAAATATTATGGTGTACATAGACACATTCATTTTTGCATACATACGTGTGTGCGCGCGCGTGTGTTTGGGACTAGAGAGAGTTCCGGTCAGGTGCGATCAGTCCTATATATATATATATAAAGAAAATGTGTACACAGATTTGAATGATTACAAAAAAGGCACTACATGTATGCTAACCAATGATTGAATAGGATGAAAGGTTGAGATTATAAGTTCTCATCATAAGAAGTTTTTATTTTAAGGGGTTCTCATAAGAGCCTCCCTATATGTGTGTATAGATACATCAATATATGCTTATATATGTATATGTATATATATGTGTGTGCATGACTGTGTGTATGTATGTCTATATACAGTTTTGTCGTTGCATCACTTCAACTTCAATGGTTCATTTTTTTTTTGCTTTGTTAGTATCATATAATGACTTCAATCATTATATCTTCAACTTTTTTCAAAGGTAGATGCTATGAACTAACTTTCTCGGCATTAGAAATGAACATTCCATTGTTGTTTTCGGTGAAAGACGACATGATCTCACAGTTTCAATTAATACTTGCCACAATTGAGCAAAAAATATGGATTTGCTTTCGGCGAAAAAGCGATCAAAGTTAGCCCGATCAAATCTCATTAGAAGCGCCGAATGAAATATTTTGCAGATACAACATTACTTTTGCATACGAGTCAGATCAAGAAACTAGAAGGAACAATAGTTCCATACCAGTTGAGTGATGCATTTAAGGATTTGAATCTCTTGTTAATCTTCAAGGGGTGATCTTGAAATTTTGATGGTATAAATTGTGTCTCGTCTTATTTCAGCCATGTGCTCATTTGGTTAAATGTACTCAGTGCCTTATTCTTTAGTGTCTGCAAAGAGAAAATATGAAGGAATGGAGAAAACAATAAACAGATAGGTACTATATAAACTTGGTTCCAATAGGAAACTTACATGACAAACAGATTTGAACAAAGATACAGTAAGGATACGTTGGACTAGGTAAAGATTCTGCAAAGAGTTATTTGCTTATGTTTGTATTTATATTTGGATTTGGAAAATGAGTCTGAAGAAATATCAAAATAAATTTCTTGAGTTTGCATGTATCATTTACTTTGCAATTTTTCTTGCCTTCAAATTTACTCCCTATTTTCTTTCCATAGTATATATCCAGGTCCCAAACAGACCTAAAGAGAGAACAAACATTTGTTAAGGGAAATTCTCATTTTGCGCCCAATGGTTTGCCCCAATATTTGACTTTTCCCATCATGTTTTGAATCCTTTGACGATACACCCCAAAACGGGTCCTTTCTGCTGGACTTTCCACCCTATTCATTTACCTCAATATTTTACTATGCACCAACTTTGGAGTGCTTTATAAAAAGAATTAGATCAAGGGGTGAATTACCTAAGGACTCAAATCATGGGGTGCAATGTCAAACTTTTCCAATTTATATTGTTAATTAGATTTAACTGATAAATGATTTTTTGGGAGTGCATACCTCAATGAGTTCACACTACGTTTTTCTCCATTGCTTCCCAGCATCATATTCTTCATATCTTTCCCAAGACGCCATTTGTCCATCTCCTCATCTCTTTTAGATAGTGCATCTTTGAGAGATGCAATCTGCATAATGAAATACATCGAGAAGATGAAGCATTTAGCCGCTTAAATGCGTAAATCACAAATTCTTGATCTAAGCATTATACATAACAAAGCTAATAATGTTAGGTTGAGTCATAACAAGGACTACCAGAATTGCTCTAATGCCATAATATTATTCAAAATTAGATCGTGTTTCTCAGATGGCCTGCCAAACGCATTAGAAGATTGAATCCAATCAGGATCTTAGAAACCCATATGTGTATTTTAACATTTCTAAGCGATGTATCTCCTTTCAGCCAGATGAAACTTATGCTTTTTAAATTTCATCCTGATAGACAACCGGGCCGTAAGGACAAAAAGACATTTAATAATAATATTAAAGAGTAGTATAAGGATAGTAGGATACAATAGAAGAAGTAAGAGGGATGTAAATAAATTGATGAGGTGGCAACCTGATAGGGACCTGAAGACTTCTCCTAATAAGAATAATATTAAGTAGTTTAATATTGTACAATAAGAGAGTTCTAGGCACTTCCATTATTTGCAATGGAGCCAAAGACTCACTAGTTTTTGAATTGGGAATATGATGGAATAAACCAAAATGGCTCACTAAACTGTCTGCGTTTCTTTGTTATGAAGCAGCAGTCAATTCATGCAATTTTCGACGCGATTATCACCATGGGTCATCCGGAAACAGTCTCTTTGTGCTTTAGTACAGGGGCGTACATCCGACCCCCTTACTCCACCAAAGGTGGGAGCCTTTTCGGCACTGAGGTAATGATAATGATGATGAAGAGGGTTCTAGGCCCGGTAACTTAGTGGATGAGGGTCAGCCTATTAGGAGAATGTTAAAATAGGCACAAGTAAGGGGAAAATGATGTAGGCAGAACTTGGCAACCGGGAGAGTAAGGCCTCTCGAAGAGTCTCAAATGTATTTTTCCGTTTCAGTACTTTCGTATCAATCTACGTCTATTTTCCGTTTCCAAATCTGTTTCCTGACATTGGTATCAGAGCATCAATCTCTTGACATGTTAATGGTTATAACCCGATCAAACATGGAGAACAATATAGATGATATGGAGCGATCGATGATAGAGATGCGAACGATGTTGGAGGAACTGCGGAATGTCATGCTTCACAACGAGTGCAAAAGGACCAGAGGATGATCGTGTACTACGCGGTAATTCCAACGAATCCCTGTCTGCTTCAGCCCATCATGAGGATACTAGAATCAATAATCGTATAGGGACTGGGCGAAAAGTTGATTTACCGATAACCAATGGAGTCAACACATATGGATGGATAGTTCATGTAGAACGTTTTTTCAAATTAAATCATGTCGAGGAAAACAAGAAAGTGGAGGTAGTAGTGATCGCGATGGAGAAACGAGCACTTAATTGGTACCAATGATGGGAAGGACAAACCCAGGATCATGGTTGGGAGCACTTCAAGGAAGCGTTAATAAGGAGGTTTCAACCGGAGCTCGTACAAAAGCCCTATGGGCCTATGTTGAGCATAAAACAGACGGTGAGTGTGATGGACTACAGGGAGCAGTTCGAGCTGATTGTGGAGTGTAGAAAAATGTAGCATATACATGTTATTTTTATTATTTGTACATCCGGGACTGTATAGATAGGAATTAGAGTTGATATAGGTCTCTAATTCTTAGATTAGCTCGCAGATTAGATAGAATAGATAGATCCTAATTTTTAGGATCTGTAACAACTTTAGTTTATCTGTAACTTGTATATATATCATTGCCGGATGGCTCAATAATACACAAGGAAGATTAATTCTTCAAACTTACATGGTATCAGAGACTTGTTGTTTAAAACACCATAATGGTGGACACTGAACACTCTGATTCCTCCACCCACTCACAAACCCATCACCCTAACCCCCAAATTAGCCAAATGACAAATTACCAAGTCTCGGTTAATTCATCTATGCTCATTACTGGACATAGATTGAATGGAACCAACTACCTAGAGTGGTCACAGTCTGTCAAACTGGCAATAGATGGAAGAGGAAAGTTGGGATACATAACGGGTGAAGTAGAGGAGAAGAAGAATGGTGAAGATGGCTACAATGTCTGGAGGTCAGAGAACTCTTTTGTAACAGCCTGGCTTCTCAGTTCAATGGATGCATCAATCGCCAAACCTCACATGTTCATGAGAACTGCAAAAGAGGTATGGGATTCAATTAAAGAAACCTACTCAGATCTTGAGAATTCTTCTCAGATCTATGAATTAAAAACAAGGTTGTGGCAGTCCAAACAAGGAAGTAGAGATGTCATCTCATATTATAATGAGATGGTATCTCTATGGCAAGAGTTGGACCAATGCTATGATGCTGAAGACTGGGAAAGTGGCAAGGATCTGGCAAGACACAAGAAGAGAGAGGAAAATGACAGGGTTTATATGTTCCTAGCAGGAATGAATAGAGACCTAGATGAAGTAAAAAGCAGAATACTGGGGAAGAAACCCTTGGCCTCAATCAGAGAGGTCTTTTCTGAGATCAGGTTGGAAGATAGCAGGAGGAGGGTCATGTACAACACTCCAGTACCTAATGAGGAACCTGGGGAATCTTCAGCTTTGGTGGCCAGAAGTGATGACAACAACAAAAAACCTTGGTGTGACCACTGCAAGAAATTGTGGCACACAAGGGATACATGCTGGAAACTTCATGGAAAACCACCAGGAGCTGGAAAGAAGAAAGTAGAGAGGGCCCTACAAACTACTGTGACTGAGACTCAACAAGAGTCAGGAGTTGAATCTAAACAGCTACCATTCACTCAGGAACAGATAGAGTACCTACTCAAATTCATACCCACCCAGAAAATCTCCAACCAAGAAAACCCTACCTGTTCTTTTGCCCAAAATGGTAAAATGACATCATTTTTTTGTTCTGAAAAACCAAAAAACACTTGGGTCATTGACTCAGGTGCAACAGACCACATGACCTACATTCCAAAGTTTTTTTCTTCTTATCAACCTTGTGCAAGAGATAAGAAAGTTAGGGTTGCAGATGGCTCTTTTTCAGCCATAGCAGGGATGGGAAATATTAAAATTTCCTCATCCATTAACCTTTCCAAAGTCTTACATGTTCCAAAACTTTCCTGCAACCTTATCTCTATTAGCAAAATAACTAAAGACCTTCAGTGTTGTGTAAAGTTTTATCCCTCTTATTGCATTTTTCAGGATCTGGCATCAGGGAGGATGATTGGCAGTGCTAGAGAGGAGGATGGCCTCTATACTTTTGATGAAGGAACACAATTGAATAAACAAGGTCAAGAAAAAACTTGTTTGCAAACTATTTTCTTTCCTTGTAATAATGAAGTGTATTTAATGCACTATAGATTAGGTCACCCAAGTTTTTCTTATCTGAAAATGTTGTTTCCTAAGTTATTTCATAATAAAAATCCTTCATCATTTCATTGTGATATGTGTGCACTTGCCAAACATCATAGGAGTTCTTATATCTCTCATAGTTACAAGCCAACTAGTCCTTTTACTATTGTACACAGTGATATTTGGGGTGCATCTAGAGTTCCAACACTGAAAGGAAAAAGGTGGTTTGTAACTATTATAGATGATCACACACGGGTCACATGGGTGTTTTTACTTAAAGAAAAATCTGAGATTGAAGAAGTGTTCAAAAAAATTTACTCAATAATCCAAACTCAATTCAACACTAATATCAAAATTGTAAGAAGTGATAATGGTCTTGAGTATTTTTCTAAGAAGTTAAATAATTTTTTTGCTGAAAAAGGAATTATTCATCAAAGTTCCTGTGTAAATACACCTGCTCAGAATGGAATAGCTGAGAGGAAAAATAGACATTTGCTTGAAGTCACTCGTGCAATACATGCTACCTATTTAATTAATAGGATGCCATCAAAAACTCTAGGATTTAAAACTCCTATTGATACTCTTCAAGCCAGTTCTGAAACTAGGCTCATTAATTCTCTTCCCATAAAAATTTTTGGCTGCACAGTTTTTATTACCAACCCTGACAGAACTGCAAGCAAATTTGATCCTAGAGGCAAAAAATGTGTTTTCTTAGGACTATCTTCAACTCAGAAAGGCTATAAATGTTTTGACCCTATAACAAAAAAGATGTTTATAACTATGAACACTGTTTTTGTAGAAAATCAACCTTTTTTTGGTACTCATCTTCAGGGGGAGATTCCTAATGAAGATGGTGATAATGTGTCACATATCCATGAAAAACTTGAATCTCTTGACATTAATCTAGATGCACAATATAATAGACAGTTAGATGCACTAGAAAATAGTCAAGAGTCAAAAGAAAATGAAATAAATTTTTCTGAAACAAGGAAAGATGATGAACAGCAGACAAGTAAGTTTTTTGGCAAGGTTTATGAAAGGAGAGTTCCAAATCACAGAATAGAGGACATCCCTGATCCTGCCACTGCCCATGAATCTGACTCAATGTCAGAAAATGACAAAGGTAATAATTTCAGTTATCTTAATCTACCCATTGCTCTCAGAAAAGAAAAAAGATCATGTGTTAAATACCCTATCTCAAACTATCTGTCCTATTCTCAGTTATCTACATCATTTGCAGCCTTTACCTCTAGTCTTTCCACTGTTTCTATTCCCTTAACCATACAGGAAGCTCTATCTATACCTGAGTGGAAGAAGGCAGTTTTAGAAGAAATGAATGCTCTTGAAAAGAATCAGACATGGCAGGCTGTAGAAGTACCCAAAAACAAACCAAGGGTGGGATGCAAATGGGTATTTACCCCTAAATTCAAGGCAGATGGTACACTTGAAAGATATAAGGCCAGATTGGTTGCCAAAGGATACACACAAACCTATGGCATAGATTATACAGAAACTTTTGCTCCAGTTGCAAAATTAAATACTATAAGGATCCTACTATCTCTAGCTGCTAACCTAGACTGGCCTCTTCAACAGTTAGATGTGAAGAATGCTTTCTTAAATGGGAAGCTTGAAGAGGAAGTATACATGAGCCCCCCTCCTGGGTTTGAGGAACAATATGGCTCAAAGGTGTGCAAGCTGGAGAAAGCCTTATATGGACTTAAACAGTCCCCAAGGGCTTGGTTTGAAAGGTTTACTCAATTCATAAAGAAGCAGGGATTCAAGCAAGCCCAAGCAGACCATACACTATTCATGAAATTCTCCATTAAGGGAGAGATTGCAGTACTAATTGTTTATGTGGATGATATAATTCTTACAGGAAACTATTGTAAAGAGATTGAAGACCTGAAGAAGAAGCTTGCTCAGGAATTTGAGATCAAAGACCTGGGAGAATTGAAGTACTTTCTTGGCATGGAGATAGCCAGATCACAGAAGGGAATTGTGGTATCCCAGAGGAAGTATGTACTAGACCTACTCCATGAAACAGGTATGAGTGCCTGCAGACCAATAGATACTCCAATTGACCCTAATCAAAAGTTAGGAAATGTCAAGGAAGGAGTACCAGTTAATATTCACCAATATCAAAGATTGGTGGGAAGGTTGATTTATCTGGCACATACAAGGCCAGATATTGCCTTTGCAGTCAGTATGGTTAGTCAATTCATGCATAATCCATTCCAGGAACATCTAGATGCTACCTACAGAATCCTAAGATATTTGAAAAGCTGTCCAGGGAAAGGATTATTTTTTAAAAGAAGTGACAATAGAAATGCAGAAGCCTTTACAGATGCAGATTATGCTGGTTCAATAACTGATAGAAGGTCTACATCTGGGTATTGTACTTATGTATGGGGGAATCTGGTGACTTGGAGGAGTAAGAAGCAGAATGTAGTTGCTGGAAGTAGTGCAGAATCTGAATTTAGATCTATGGACTATGGCTAATGGAATCTGTGAACTACTTTGGATCAAGAGAATGATGTCAGAATTGAATATGGAAATGGAACTACCTATGAAGTTATATTGTGACAATAAAGCAGCCATTAATATTGCTCACAATCCTGTGCTACATGATCGTACTAAACACATTGAAGTGGACAGGCATTTTATCAAAGAGAAGATTGAAGCTGGAATTGTGTGCACACCATTCATATCTACCAAAGAACAAACAGCTGATATCTTTACAAAGGGGCTGTTTAAACCAGTGTTTGAATTTCTTATAAGCAAGTTGGGAATGTATGATATATACTTACCAACTTGAGGGGGAGTGTAGAAAAATGTAGCATATACATGTTATTTTTATTATTTGTACATCCGGGACTGTATAGATAGGAATTAGAGTTGATATAGGTCTCTAATTCTTAGATTAGCTCGCAGATTAGATAGAATAGATAGATCCTAATTTTTAGGATCTGTAACAACTTTAGTTTATCTGTAACTTGTATATATATCATTGCCGGATGGCTCAATAATACACAAGGAAGATTAATTCTTCAAACTTACATGGAGCTATGAGGAACACGGATAGGGTGGAATTGAAACTCTACCATCATGGGTCACTGAAATGATGGAGATAGAGATTATTGTTAGAGGAGAAAATCACTGCTATGAGATCAGGGATACATTAGGAAGAAGAAAAAAGGGGCTGGAATCACCAAACTCCTGCTATTCAATCACAAACTCCTAAGAAAACACATTCACAGAACAAACTAGAGGAATCACCAAAACTGAATAAGATATGGGAAGGAGGCCAAAGGTTGACACAAGCAGAGCTAGAAGAAAGAAGTAAAAAGGGCATATGCTTCAAATGTGGAAACAAATGGAGCAAAGAACATGCTTGTGGAATGAAGGATTATGAATTTGTCTGGATGGAAGAGCCAGAAGAAGAGAAGGGAACTGGATGTAGCAGAGAACCCACTGAAACCAAATGCAAATCAGTTTCTTAGCACCCACCATGAGGATAAGGGATTCAAAGGGAGTGATGATAGGGACCAGGACACCCCTCCTAATAAGAATAATATTATGTAGTTTATTATTGTACAATAAGAGGGTTCTAGGCCCAGTAACTTGGTGGATGAGGGCCGGCCCATTAGGAGAGTATTATAATAAGCGCAGGTAAGGGGAATTCTGATTCCGCTATTGTATTTTCTTAAGGAATTCTGAGATCTTCTCTGAACTCCATACTTAATATACATAAATTATCCTATTGTGTGTATGTTTCCTATCATTGGTATCACAGCATCAACGATCCGCAGGAGGTGTGAACGATCCTCACTCGAGCTCAGATGGAAAATCGGATAGAAAATTGGAACACAATGTAGCAGAGATGCGATCAGTGGTAGACGATTTCCACAACCGGATGTTGTACCAAGGACACAGGCGTTCCAGAGGATGATCAAGGACATCAAGGCGACATCCGCAGTATGAAAATTAAAAACCTGGGCTTGTCCAGATCATGGGATAAATCGCCGAGTTTCCAGCTGACTTCATTCATCCGCGAGCAATCACCACACCAAGGACAAATTCCAACAGGAAGGAAGGTGGATCTACCCGTATTCAATGGAGAGGACTCAACCAGGTATCGAATGAGGACAAATTCGGACAGGAAGGAAGGTGGATCTACGGGTGGAATGATTCTTCAGACTCAACCAGATATCGAATGAGGAAAAGGTTGAGCTGGTAGTGATCGCCGTGGAGGAAAGGGCCCTGAACTGGTTCCAATGGTGGGAAGAACAACTGAGGAACGTACCTGGGAGTCCTTCAAGGCAGCTTTCATCCAAAGGTTTCAACCGGAGCTGGTACAGATTCCTTTTGGACCTATGTTAAGTACCAAACAAACTCTGCCTGTGATGGCTTACAGAGAGGAGTTTGAATTGGTAATAGCTTCCTTGAGACAGACTGACAGTGAGATGCTGAAGGAAATATTCCTGAATGGACTCAAGGAAGAGGTCAGGGCTGAGTTGAAATTGTACAATTCCGGCAGTTTGACTAAATTAATGGACAGAGCTCTTTTCTTAGAAGAGAAAAACAGTTGAAGAATAGAGTTTTAATATTATTTCAAATACAGAAGCTAAATACAATTTATAGGCCTAGGCTAACTTAATAAAGGAAAGAGTAATTATGTACAAGATCTTCTAATTAATACAAATCTCCTACTTGATTCTAGGAAATCAGATTATGATCCGAACAAATCTCATTATAATCAACTAAATATTCTAATATTTCTACACTCCCCCTCAAGATGGTGAATGGATGACTATCATTCCCATCTTGCAAGTAAGTTCTCGAAACCGCTCTACTGGAAGCCCTTTGGTGAGCACATCAGCCAACTGAAGCCCCGAACGAACATACTGTGTAGAAATAAGACCACTATCCAGTTTTTCCTTGATGAAGTGTCGGTCTATTTCTATGTGTTTTGTTCTATCATGCTGGACTGGATATGAGCTATACTAATAGCAGATTTATTATCACATAAGAGTCATAGGAGCTTTAAATAGTATTTTCAAATCTCCTAATATGATCTTCATCCATAATAATTCACAAACCCCTTGAGCCAAGGCCCTGAATTCTGCTTCTGCACTCGATCATGCCACGACATTCTGCTTCTTGCTCCTCCATGTCACTAAATTTCCACCTAAGAACATGCAATATCCAGTAGTAGACCTCCTGTCAACAATTGACCCTGCATGGTTTGCATCTGTATAAATCTCCATAGACAGATGTTCCTCCTTTTTGAATAGCAGTCCTCTCCCGGGAGTTGCCTTCAAATACTGCAAGATTCTATTCACTGACTGCAAGTGTCTTTCGCGTGGATCATGCATGAACTGACTAACCACACTAACAGGATATGCTATGTCAGGCCTTGTGTGAGATAGGTATATGAGTTTTCCCACGAGTCTCTGATAATGAGTTTTCTCTACTTTTGGGCTCTCCTCATCACTCCCAATCCTGTGATATTGCTCTATGGGTACTCCAGTGATTTTGCAGCCTAACTTACCAGTTTCTTTGAGAAGATCAAGGACATATTTTCTTTGGGAAATGAAAATGCCTTGTTTTGAGTACGCCACTTCCATGCCTAGGAAATATTTGAGCTTTCCAAGGTCTTTCATTTCAAACTGAGCTGCCAACTCCTTAGAATTTGTTTTTCATATTCATCATTCCCTGAAATGATCATATCGTCTACATAGACTAACAAAAGAGTCAGTTTGCCATTTCTAGTGTGTTTTATAAAGAGGGTATGCTTTGTTTATACCCCAGTGATACCATGGCCTGAGTAAACCTTCCAAACCATGCCCGGGGTGATTGCTTGAGCCCGTATAGGGCCTTCTTCAATTTGCAAACCATATTTCTCCCTGAAGTAAGGGCATACCATGTCGGAATATCCATATATACCTCTTCTTCTAAATCTCCATGCAAGAAAGCGTTTTTTACATCAAACTGTTGTAACTCCCAATCAAAGTGGGCTGCTAAGGATAAAATAATCCTTACTGTATTCATTTTTGCTACAGGAGCAAATGTATCTTCATAATCAATCCTGTAGGTCTGGGCGAAACCCTTTGCTACTAACCTTGCCTTATACCTGTCAAGTGTACCATCAGATCGGTACTTAATTGTGTATATCCACCTACAACCTACTATTTTTTTGTTATTTGGTTTTTCAACCATCTCCCAAGTTTTATTCTTTTCTAGTGCATGCATCTCTTCATTCATGGCTTGAATCCAATTCTTATTTTTTAAAGATTCTTGTACTGATGCAGGGACTCTAATAGAGTAAATCGTTGAAAGAAAACTCTAGTGTTGGGCAGAAAGATTCTTAGTACACACAAACTGAGATATAGGGTACTTGGTGCAAGATCGTTTTTTCTTTCTCAACGCAATGGGCTGGTCATCAGGGTTTGGCTCACAATATTTGTTAGGCTCGGAGTTAGGAGCATTTAAACACGAATTATTAGGCTCGAGGTTATGAGTACTTACCTCAGGGTCAGACGATTGGACTTGCTGATGGATTAGGACGGGTTTAGCTTTTCGTTGGTACTTTATACGGAACCTGTCATCATTATTGTGCACTGGTATTCAGTAGCATCACTGTCCTTAGGGGCAGGAATAGAAAGTGAATTCAAGGGTACATGTATTAAAGGAAGAATAGGAAACTCAAGGGACTCAACTTCCTGTCTACTCTCCCCCTGAACCTGAGAATTAGGATAAAAAGATTTGGTTTCCAGAAAAGTGACAACCATGGATATATAAACACGGCGACTAGAAGGATGATAACACTTATACCCTTTTTTATTTGGTGCATATCCTATAAAGATACATTTAAGAGCCCTTGGGTCTAACTTACTTCGATGAGGACCAACAACATGAACAACATAAAAGGAGGAATAGAAGGGTAGTTAATAATAACTAACTAGAAGGTTAGTTAGTTAGTTCCCTGCGTGGACTAAACTACTATAAATAGAAGTATGGAGTCTATGAGTGGTAGGCTGTTATTTTGATTGACTAAGGTCTGGGAGATTGGGGCGTCTCGAATAGCTCTAAACTGTGTACTGTCTGTAATCCCTTCCTACTTCAATAAAGTTCTCTGATCTTGTTCTTCTTAATTGTTTGTGATTCGTTGTGTTGTGAGTTGGATATATCAGTGTTCTATCATTGGTTCAGAGCATACGACTCTGGAGAAGCAGCGCTGGTGATCGGAAGTTGAGCGCAACTATCGGAAAAACCTCGTTCGATCTGTGAATGGTTAGAACAAGAGGAAAAATGGAGAATAGGTTGGAAGTTGTGGAGCGGAACTTTCAGGAGGTGAAATCTGCATTGGATACGGTTATCGCATCTTTGGCGACGTTGAATGAAGAGCGTCAGAGCAGAATGAGGCCGCGAACACCATCGCGACCACATATGAGAACTTCGCGCAGTCCGGCTACTTCCAGAGGTAACTCGGTTCACTCGCATGTTCATATTGTTCCTCGTAATGATGAACGGGGTAGAGTACATGGTAGAAAGGTAGATTTACCTTTATTCAATGGCGAAGGGGCCTACAATTGGATTAGACGCATGGAGAGGTACTTTCGCTTAAATCATATTGAAGAGGAAGAAAAAGTGGAAGCAACTATGATTGCGATGGAGGATAGGGCACTGAATTGGTTTCATCTGTGGGAGAACCAAACAGAGGAAACAAGTTGGGATACATTGAAGAAATCTGTCATTCGCAGGTTTCAGCCAAAACTGATTCAAAATCCATATGGGCCCATGTTGAGTTTGAAGCAAATTGGAAGTGTGCAAGATTATAGAGAAGAATTTGAAATGGTTATAGCTCCGCAGTTGCATATGGACCAGGAGTTGTTACGAGGGGTTTTCATTACAGGTGAAAGATGAAATCAAATCTGAGTTGAAATTATATGCAACCAAGTCCTTAACTGAGATCATGGATAAGGCTATACTCATTGAGCAGAAAAATGAAGCAACCTATTTGAGGAGAAAAGAGGAGGATAAAATGGGTGGAAAAGAAAGAGGACCTGCACCAGTAAAATCTCAGAATTGGGGAGAAAGTTATAAGGCCAAATCTGGTAATTATGGGTCATTTCAGAATAAGTTTGCCACAGAAAATAAGAACAACAGTTTTTGGGGTGATAAGACTGGAATTAAGACCTCTGCAGGTCAGTCATCTGGAATTAGAAAAGTAGGACTCAGTTGTCTCAAGATGAGTTTCAGGAAAGGAGCAGAAAGGGCCTGTGCTTCAAGTGTGGAGAGAAATGGAATAAGGAACATACTTGTAAACTGAAGCATTACAAGTTGATGTTAGTAGAAGATTCTGAAAGGGAGGATGAACCAGAAGAAGGAGAATCTGCACCTATTGAAGAAGACACTATTATGGAGTCCAATTCTATGCAACTTTCTCTCATGAGTAGAGAAGGCATACCTACTTTGAGGGCATTCAAAGTACAAAGATGTTTGAAATGGGGCAAAGGTGAAAGACAGGTAGAAGTTTTGATTGATAGTGGAGCCACTCATAACTTCATTTCACAGAAATTGGTGGATGATCTGGAACTACAATTCCGAACTATTGTGGGTTATAAAGTGCAAATTGGAAACGGGGAGATGATATCTAACAATAGAAGATGTGAGGAGTTAATATTGAATCTGCAGGACACCGATATTTCTCATACTGAATCTGGGAGGGACTGATATGGTTTTGGGAATGGAATGGTTGACTAGCCTTGGGGATGTAGAAGTTAAATTTCAGAAGCAGACTATCAGATGGAATCAACAAGGACTCAACCATTATATTCAAGGTGACCCCAAATTAAATTCCATGGAAGTCTCATTGAAAACTCTATCACAGATTATACAAGATAATGGAGATGGATATCTTGTATACTGTGAAGGAAATTTAATGCAGAATGATCAAGTAGAAGAACTGGAACCAATTTGGAAGACTATATTGGCAGAATTTCCTGAAGTTTCACAGCCTTTAGAAGGATTACATCCCAAGAGACAGTGTGATCATTCCATTAACATTCAGGAAGGTGCTGACATTCCCAACATCAGACCTTACAGATACCCACAATACCAAAAGGATGAGATTGAGAAAATCATCAGGGATATGTTAAATTCAGGAATTATTCAGAATAGTAACAGCCCTTACAGCAGTCCAATATTGCTAGCCAAGAAGAAAGATGGTGGATGGAGGTTCTGCGAAGATTATAGAGCACTGAATAAAATATTGTCCCTGATAAATTCCCCATCCCTGTCATAGAAGAGTTACTGGATGAACTTGGGGAGGCCAGAATTTTCTCTAAGCTGGACTTGAAATGAAGGAAGAGGACAGGAAGAAGACAGCCTTCAGAACACATGAAGGGCATTATGAGTACTTGGTGATGCCCTTCGGATTGACTAAAGCTCCATCAACTTTTCAAGCATTAATGAATCAGGTCCTAAGGCCTTTCTTGAGAAAATTTGCATTAGTTTTTTTTGATGATATTTTGGTGTACAGCAGGTCTAAAGAGGAAGATCAGATGCATTTGAGGGCAGTTTTATCTGCCTTAAGAGATAACCACCTGGTGGTGAATCTTAAAAAATGCTCTTTTGGACAACCTCAATTGATCTATTTGGGACATATAATATCTGGAGAAGGAGTTTCAGCTGACCCAACCAAGATAGAGGTCATGGTTAGTTGGCCAGCACCCAAAGATCTGAAAGAATTAAGGGGTTTTCTGGGTTTAACTGGATATTACAGAAGGTTTGTGAAAGGGTATAGTAGAATTGCACTACCTTTGACACAACTTCTGAGAAAAGACAGTTTTAAATGGGATATGAAAGCTACTCAAGCCTTTGAAGAGCTGAAGATCACTATGACTTCTCTACCAGTTTTGGCAGCCCCAAATTTTGACAAAACATTCATTATTGAAACAGATGCATCTGGGACAAGTCTGGGGGCAGTCCTAATGCAGGAGGGGAGACCAATAGCTTTCTTGAGTAAGGAGTTGTCAAAAAGGAATCAAAACAGATCAGTGTATGAAAGGGAGCTCATGGCAATTGTGCTGGCAGTTCAGAAATGGAGGCCGTATTTGCTGGGAAGGACTTTTGAGGTTCATACTGACCAAAAAAGTCTCAAATTCCTGACTGAGCAAAGGTTATTGGGTGAGGAGCAACAAAAATGGACTTCTAAATTGTTGGGTTACAATTTCACTATCAAATATAAGCCTGGTGCGGAAAATAGAGTTGCAGATGCTCTATCCAGAAGACCACAATTGCAGTCTTTGTCTATTGTAACTTGTCAAGAATGGGAGGGGTTAGAAGATGGGTTGAATTCAGATCCTATATGCAAAGACTTAATTCAGTAAGTGATTTCACAGCCAGACAGAAATTCAGAGTTCCAGATTATTAAGGGATTGTTATATTACAACAAGAGACTGGTTCTACCTAAAGGATCTCCTAGAGTAACCAAAATATTAAGGGAATATCATGATTCAGCTATTGGAGGGCATTCTGGTTACTTTAGAACCATGAAGAGAATATCTACCTTATTTTTCTGGCAGGGGATGAGAAAGGATATTAAAAAGTTTGTGGAAGAATGTGCAATATGTCAAACAAACAAATATCAAGCTCTTCAGCCTGCAGGTTTATTACAACCCTTGCCAATTCCCAATAAGATTTGGACTGACATCAGTATGGATTTCATAGGAGGTCTACCCAAATCCAATGGAAAGGACACCATTTTGGTGATTGTTGACAGACTGACTAAGTTTGCTCACTTCCTGGCACTTTCACACCCCTTTAATGCCAAAGAAGTAGCAGATTTATTCACCAAGGAGGTGGTTAAGATACATGGTTTTCCAAAAACCATTGTAAGTGACAGAGACAGTATATTTTTAAGTGCATTCTGGTCAGAATTATTCAAATTGGCCGGGACTCAGTTGAAACACAGTACAGCATACCACCCACAGACTGATGGTCAGACTGAGGTGGTAAACCGATGTGTGGAGACATATTTGAGATGTTTGACAGGGAGAAAACCTAAGCAATGGTCCAGATGATTGCATTGGGCTGAATTCTGGTATAATACAAATTATCATGCTTCATTGAAAGTAACACCTTACAAAGCCTTGTTTGGGCAGGATCCCCCTATAGTAATTAGAGGAGATGTGGATCTTACTGCAATGGAAGAAGTATCTCAACTAACTGCCCAGAGGAATTTGATGTTAGAAGAATTAAAAGATAATTTGGCTAAAACTCAAAATCAGATGAGACAGCAGGCCAACAAACACAGGAGGGATATTCAACTGGAAGTGGGTGATCAGGTTTACTTGATGATACAGCCATATAAGCTAAGGAGTTTAGCTAAGAGAATGAACCAGAAACTGAGTCCAAGATATTATGGTCCTTTTGATATTATTGACAAAATCAGTTCTGTAGCCTTTAAACTTAAGCTACCAGAGGACAGTAAAATACATCCTGTATTTCATGTCTCTTTGCTTAAAAAGGCTATAGCAACCACTGCTTATTTTCAGCCTCTACCCAAATGTTTGAATGAAGAGTTGGAATTACAAGTAGTCCCAGAAAATGTGGTGGATTCAAGAGTGGACAAGGAAGGAAACTGGGAACTGCTAAAACACTGGAAAGGGTTGCCAAGTTTTGAAGATTCCTGGGAATCATTTTTATTGATCAAAGAGAAATTCCCAGATTTTCACTT